ACTTTGAAATCAGCAAACAATAATAAATGAATATAATTACCATCAATTATTTCATAGCCATCTTCTTTAAGCTTCTCAACTGAAGTATTTTCAGTATCCATTTGTTTGCCACTTCCTACTTCTATTGTTCTAACATTGTCATATTCCAACAATTCCTCGTTTAATTTTTTTAAAAAAAAATTAGCACATGCTTTTTTATCTCCAGCTTTATGATTTTCAGGTATTTTATTAAGATAATCCAATTTTCTCCATATTGAAATAGTATCAAAGTAGTCATTTAAACCTCCTTGTCTTAATTTAATTGATTTTTCTTCTCTTAATGTTCGAAAAAGTAAAGAAAAACAAGGTAATTTTCCTAAATCATAATCAATAAATTCACAAGAAGGGATAAATGACTGAAGGTCTAAATTATTTTCATTATTTAAATAATTTTTAAATAATGAAAATAAATCATTCATTGTTGTTTTTTTAATTGAGGCAATTAGATCCTCCTCAACTGGTAAATCAAAATTCCATTCTTTAATATGTTTTAAAACTTCTTCTTCAGACAAAGACAAAAGTGAGTTTTGACCCCATAAATTTCTTCTTTCTACTCTATCATAATCACGCTATAACAGTAAATTTATAATAAATCAATTAGTTTAGAAAAATTAAAAGTAGTGTAGTAAAATTATAAATATTTACTGTATCTTCAAGTATAATAATATCTTCTAAGTTGGAAATTGTAACATCAAATTGTTGTCTTCTGGTTGTCATTTTATAAAATTTTTTTTTTAAATTTTTAATAAATGGATCTACACATAAATATATATATATATATATATATATATATATATGAATTGTGAAAGTGAAACTGATGTGTTTTTAAATTGTTCAAGAGGCATATCAAGGCTTTGGTGTAAATCATAAGCATCAGTTCTGTTACTTACAAGAAATTTTCTATAATGAGCCTGGAAAAATGATAGTTAGAATAAATATTTAAGCAAATAAAATATTCATCATTTATAATATTTTTTTTTATTAAAATTTGAGAAAATAATTTTTAGCTGAAATGATTTTTTAATAAATTATTACAAACAAAAGTACAATTCCTAGTTCTTTTATTTATAAGAAATTCAGTAAATAATTACAAGAAAATTATTTTTAAACTTTTTGCGACACATTACTAAATTCAATTACTTTATTTCCTGCAAGACATTACTAAATTGTTTTTTTGCAAGACATTACTAAATTCAATTACTTTATTTTTCATGAGACATTACTAAATTCAATCCTGTGAGACATTACTAAATTGTTTTTTTGCAACACATTACTAAATTCAATTCCTTATTTTTTGCGAGACATTACTAAATTCAATTACTTTATTTTTCACAAGACATTACTAAATTCAATTATTTTATTTTTTGCAACACATTACTAAATTAAATTACTTTATTTTTTGCAAGATATTACTAAATTCAATTATTTTATTTTTTGCAAGATATTACTAAATTCAATTGCTTTATTTTTCGCGACACATTACTAAATTCAATTATTTTATTTTTCGCGACACATTGCTAAATTCAATTACTTTGTTTTTTCGCGACACATTACTAATTCAATTACTAAATTCAATTATTTTTATTTTCCAATATTATTATTAAATTTTTTTGCGACAAACTACCAAATTCATATTAATATTAATATTAATGAAAAAATTTTTTTGCAACAAATTACTAAATTCAAATTTATTATTATTTAATACAATTAAATAATGATCGACAAAATTTTAATAAAGACTTTACTATATCGAGCTCTAGTTAATATAATGGGTACCAAGTAAAACTTCACTATATGATTATATCGAGAGTTTATATTAAAAATCAACTATATCGAGCGCCGACTGTATATGATTATTGCAAAATTAATATAAATAATCGTGTAACGATGTCAATAAATGATCGACAAGTTATGCTTATTTTATTACAATCATCCCTTAAACGGTTTTTCGGCTATTGATAACCGAAATTTTTTTTCTGTTATTATTATAAAAACTTTTTCTGAAGGTATCACTTCCTAATACGAAAATGATCTTTGAAATTCGGCTGATTGATCTGTGAATAAAAATTCGGTTGTTGTCCTTGTGGTTTTTGTAAAATATTCCTTAAAAGTTGGTCGATTGACTATTTTTACTTTACAGATCGTTAAATTGGCCAATAAGAATGCAAGTTCGTGATCAAAAAATCATTTTGTGTTACCATTAAAGAATACTTTTACCGTTTAAGAGATAAAAAACACGGATACAATCTTTCAAGTTATGGACAATGTTTTTATCACAACGATGGATTGTATGATTCTTTTAATCGTACGATTTTTAACGCATGTTTATTGGTCATTTATCACGTGAATTCGTTGTAATGCGATTAGTAATTATTATTATTATTATGTCAAAAAATCTTACAAAAATTCGTTGTTCGTTGTAATAAGATTTTATTAATAAATTCGGTGTAACAAGTTTGTTATTATTAAAAAAATTTCGTTGTAACAAAATTCGTTGTAACAAGGTTCAACTCTTACTATATATATATATTAGTATAAGAAACAATATCTGACGTATAATTTACGTTGTACAACATATATTCCATTCACACAATAGTAATAGCTTTATTGAGGCAAAAATCCCTCATGAGTTAATTTTGCCACCAAATGATGAATATCGCTATTGTTAAAAGAAATTAGTATTGATGATAAATTCAGAAATTTACACAAAAAAAAAGCGCACGCCATCTTTCTTTTCTTTGATTAGTTTTAATTTAATAATTTAATATGAGCTATTTTTGCCGAGCTACAAATAATTTTCTGCTTACGATAGATATAATGACTGATGTGTTATTAATACTAATTTTTTTTAGATAATCATTACGAATGCAAATTTAGACTTTTTTTTTAAAAAAAAAGTATATATATACTTATAATCAAAATAATAATAATATTAAATATAATCGATTTTTTTAAAAAAAAAATTTTTTCAAATTATTTGTCTCCAAATCTTACTGATTCATCTTTTCTCTTGATATCTTCATCATCGTTTCCACTTGTAAATTATCTGTAAATAAAAAACCTCTTTTTTCCCTTCTTCTTTACCAGCAACAATGATAAAAAAACTCAATTTAGAAATATCTGGTATGAGTTGTAAAAGCTGTTCTGGTACAATCGAAAGTACTTTACAAAATCTTTCAGGAATCATAAAACCTAGTGTTCGCGTAAATTTTTTAACTGGTAATGCTTCGTTAAAATTTGATGCTAATAATTTAACCGTTGATCGAATCAAAGATTCTATAACTTCGATTGGTTTTGGGGTTGATTACGTTGAAGAAACCAATATTGATAATAATAGTTCGAATAATAAGAAACAAATTGAAATTGAAATTGATGAAAAATCTAAAAAAACTGCTAATACTGCCAATAACAATGACGCAACAGAAGATTCTGCTAATGTTATAACAAAATTTTTAATTGGTGGTATGGGTTGTGCTTCATGTATAGGCACCATTGAGACAACTCTTTTACAATTACATGGTGTAGCACAAGTAAACATTAATCTATTAACAACTGAGGCTTCCATAAAACACAATCAATCAAAAATTGGTGTACGTGATCTAATGCGACATATTAGTGATATCGGGTTTGAATCACAATTGTTAAAAACCAACAATAACGATTTGCAATTTGGAAATCGAATTCGTCAAAAAACAGAGAGAGAACAAAAACTTTTAAGAAATCGATTTTTAGTATCATTATTATTTGCAATACCAACTTTTTTGATAGTAATGGTTTTCATGATGATCGGACCAAATCCTATTAATGAACTATTAACCTATCAAATAATCACTGGCCTGGATGTTGAGACATTAATTCTTTTCTTGTTAGCAACTCCTGTCCAGTTCATACTTGGCTATCCATTTTACGTAAAAGGTTTTAAATCATTATATTATACACGAAAAGCAAATATGGACACCTTGGTGGCGTTGGGTACGACTGTTTCATATTTAGGATCAATGATCAATGTGTTGATTCCAGTCTTTAGACGTAGCCCCGAGGCAGGTTATCAATTTTTTGAGACTAGTATTTTTTTGATTACGTTTATTTGGTTGGGAAGGTGGATGGAGTTGAAAGCCAAAGGTAAAACTTTCGAAACGATCACAAAGTTAATGGAGTTGCAACCAGAAAAGGCTATACTAGTTGAAATCACTTATGATAAAGAAAATAACATGATCACTGATGAGAAAGAAATTGATTTAGAATTAGTTCAAGGTACTTGATATTTGATATTAATGAAATATATCTATGAGGGTGAAAGGTTCATCATTTTAATCGAAATGTATTATTTTTTTAATTTTTTAATTTAGTTGGTGACATTCTCAAAGTAAATCCTGGTGCAAGAATTCCGTGTGATGGTAAGTTATCTAATTATTATTATTTAATTTATTAATAACAATATCATTATTTTAAAATCTTTTTTTTTTTAGGAAAAATATATAAAGGCATAACAACGTTGGATGAATCAATGATAACAGGTGAATCAATTCCAATTACAAGAACAGTAGACGAGCCAGTAATAACAGCAACAGTAAATCTGACATCAATGATTTGGATGAAAGCAGAACGAGTTGGTAGCGATACAACTTTATCACGCATAATAAAATTGGTTCAAGAAGCTCAATCGTCAAAAAAAGCACCAATTGAAGAATTAGCTGACAAAATTGCTCAGGTTTTCGTCCCAACAGTAATATCAATTGCCATTTTGGACTTTTTTATCTGGTTCGCATTAACCAATTCTGGAATAGTGCCTAGTGATTGGATCACGGATAATCTCAATGATACAGTGTTTTCTTTATTTTTTGCAATTGCCGTATTAGTGATCGCGTGTCCTTGTGCAATGGGCCTGGCGTCACCTACTGCAATAATGGTTGGAACAGGTGTGGCTGCAAAACATGGTATTTTGATCAAGGGTGGTGGCGAGGCGATTGAGATGGCTTATCGACTTAATACTATAGCATTTGATAAGACTGGCACGTTAACATATGGCAAACCGAAGGTTGTGGCGGCCAAATTTTTGTATAATAATAAGAAATCTGATGAGGGTCAAACATATAAATTATCAGTATTGATTGAAATCATTAGATTGATGGAATCGTCTAGTGATCATCCGTTGGCTCGTGCTGTTGTGCAACACATTGATGAGTCATTTGCTAAACAATCAAATAATTTCATAGAGTTAGATTCTATCACTGAAGTTCCCGGTAAAGGCCTTGAGGCTGTTGTTAATATTCGAAGTAATAACCCTCTAGTAAACGATCTGTTACCATCAGCATTAACCAATAATGGTAGTTGTTATGATGGTTTTGATGATGTTGATGTCAATAATGATGTTAATGAAAATGACAATGACGAAGGTAATAACAATGATAATGAGAATAAGAATGAGAATGATGAAATGACCATTAATAGTAAATACTCGGCAAAATATAAAGTTTTTATTGGTAATGAAAAATGGATGCGTGAAAACAATTGTATTTATCCAGCTGTTGCAACAAACGAAAAACCCAAAAAAGATGGATCATTCATTTTACATCAATGGCAAAAATCAGGTTATTCCGTGGTCTTAATGGGAGTGTCGCGAATCATTTCATCTAAACATGATGACGAAATTAAATTACCAACGACGACGACGACGACAACAACTTATAATGGTTATATTACGGCACAAATTGGTATTGCAGATACACCAAGGCCTGATTCAAAGAAAACAATTGAAAAATTAAAATCACTTGGTATTGAGATTTGGATGATAACTGGTGATAATCCTATTACTGCTAAAGCTATTGGTGAGCAATTGGGTATAGATAATATTTTTTCAGAGGTGACGCCTGAAATGAAAGCTGACAAAATCAAATGGTTACAACGTAAAGGTGCAACTATATCAACAACAAAGCAAACTAATCATAATTCATTGACATCCTTTTATTTTAATAAATTTTTAAGTTGTTTCAGCTTTAAACACCATGATAACAATATTAAAAGTACTACTATTACTAAACAAGCAATAGTAGCAATGATCGGGGATGGTATTAATGATTCACCGGCTTTGGCTCAATCAAATCTACCAATCACAGTCGCAAGTGCAACAGATGTAGCAATTGAATCATCTTCGGTAATATTGACACGATCAACTCTTTCCTCATTGATAACCTTGTTATCATTATCAAAAACTATTATTTGGCGGATTAGGTTGAATTTCCTCTGGGCTTACATTTATAACTCATTGGCTATACCCATTGCTGCTGGTGCATTCTTTCCATTACTCAAGCATGGTTTAAGGCCTGAATATGCTAGTTTAGCTATGGCTGCTAGTTCTACAACTGTAGTTGTTAGTAGTTTGATGTTAAAGAATTATAAAGAGCCAAAAAATTATTAATCTTGAAAAAAAGATATTAACTAACCTAGAAAAAACATTTGATTAATCTAGAAAAAAAAATATTCATTCATTCATTATTTTCATTATTATTATTTTATATGTATCATCTAATCATTGTAATTATAATTTTCAATTTTTAATTTTAATCTTTTAATTATATAAAAACAAAAAATAATCTTAAAAAATATATATAGTCTGAATTGAAGCATACACATTTGTTGTTCTTAATTGCATTTATGAATTATTTGCAGCAGTCTAAAATGAATAGGTCTTTTGTCATGAATGAATCTGCCTTGCTAAAACACTATTAACATAATTCATGTTGAGTTAAAACAAAATAAGTAAAATATAACTAATACCTATTTATAATCTTGCTCAGAAATGTCTCGGTCATTGTAGTATTTGTACAACCCAAAAAAGACAAATAGAATATTTAAATATTTTCTTTTGGACATTGACGATATTACTGCTCTTCCAATTTATGTGCATTATTGTTTTTCGTAAATTTTTGAGATTATTTAATCAAAATCAATAGTTCACGCACAATGTATAGAAAATATGTCATTTATTATTTGCGACATTGTCAGTTTGACTAATGATTCACTTATTCCAAAAAAACAAAAGAGAAAATGTGAATTTCGATCATTGAATTTATTCTGGATTAGTATCTCGTATGGATGATAATCAAAATGCAAAAGAGTCGCTTCTTTTTTTTTACTTATTAGTGTAAGTCTTTTGTTGCGACATTTAAGTTCGTATACTTTTGAATGTATTAATACAACAACAAGCAAAAATTTGACATCCAAGTCAAATGTTTACGCTAGAAGTCCTCTCTATAGTTGATCATGAGTTAAACGCCATTGATATTTGGCTAGATCTTAATAAGCCACAGATAATTCTTTATAGTGGAATAAATGATTGGCTTTGATAGAATATTGATTGTTATTAATGAACACAAGCTAGAGTATATAATCTTTTTCCCTTTTTGATCTATTTTTTTTTTGCATAGTAATAGCAACATATATATTCGAAAATATGCCTAATGTCATTTGACCAATCTCATTGGTCACAAAGAACACAGGAGTCTTTTTCACGGCATTTATTTAAAGTAAAGCCACCATTTTTTACCTCACAATAAGAAAAATAACCCCTGATAATCCTTTTGAAACTGTGATAAACGATCAGGCCCTCGTCATTATGATAAGAAAAGTTTTTAATATAAGAAACGAGAATAGGCCATATTCGCATCATTAATCAATTCAATGCGTTGGATCAATATAGTAGTAATGTATTATTATGTCAGAAATATTCAACTAAATTCATCCATTGATTCAATATTAATGATATGTACTTCTTTACGAAGACAGAGACTTACTTCCTTCCCTAGATGAGTATATATCTATTTTGACATTTTCAATGTTAATGACTTCATCGTATTATTTATCTCTTTTTGAGATGTTTTTTGATCTCTATCGTTGATATTAGTGACAGTAAATAATATGATAGTATAACTTTACTTATTTATCACACATTCTTATTTAAGTAAGGAGATGATGGTGAGTGAACGAACTGGTATGCTTACATGTGTACGTTTTTCAGTTTTGTCAGGTTCAGCCTGGATGCAATTATTTTCATTGGCTTCAACTATTTCATAATCAATTCAGTATTATTGCTACTGTTATTTTCTGATGGACCATAGTAATTAGGTGAAAAACAACTAATTATTTAACTCTCGTTCAGTCATTTAAATAACATTTGTTGAAAATATCACTTCTAAAATTTGATGTAAAACTCTTTTGCCATTATTATTACTAATTGAAAAATACTACTACAAAATCATGTAATAAGAATTATATCTAATCTAATATTTACTACTACTTATCAATTTTAATTAAAGCTTACCATTCACTATTGATAATTTTACTATAGTATAATTTTAAATAATGTAAAAAGATTTTAAATTGTATATATTTTTTTTATTGGTTAGTGAGAAAAAAAACCCCCCAAATTGATTTTAGAATTATTTACGGAATTTAGTTTTTAAACTTTTCTTCTCGTAATTAATATTAATTACCGTAATTCTGTATTTATTAAATACTAATATTAATACATACTGCAACAAAACCAGACAAAGTGAAAGCCATGTGACAAGGAAATACAGGGTCAGATTTCAATTATAGTTTTTTCATAAAATAGAGACCTTTGAATTGAGAGGTGCCCATTGACATGATTTCCAACAAGGAAGGAAAGTACCAATAGTAATAGTGAATGACTAGGTTTCCCTTTTTGATGTAAAAAGATTCCATAATCATCATTTAATGTTAAAACTAGTTCCTGAATTATCTTTTGATAAGCTTTAAATTGTGCTGGAGTAAAGAATTCCTTTTCTTCAACAAATTCGAAGATTCTATATTGTTAATACTTTTATGGTGATCCTTTTTTGGCAAATACAAGATCTGATCACATGATTGGCACTGAAATAACGATTAAAAAAAATGATGATTAATGAAAAGAAAATTTTTTTTAATTGTTAATTTTTCTAAAGCCAATCAATATACATCCTAACAATTTTGTAAAGATATATTTCCGTTGCTATAAATTGATAGTGCAATTCAGAAGAATGCGAATTTTTTTAATTTTAGACTAGAGATTCTGGTCTCTGGTAAGCCAATTGGTCCAGGACTATATCTCTTGTTTCTTCTTTGACTTGATGTTCTAATTGGATCACTAAATAATATATGAAAATTTTTTTTACTTATACTTTTAATTTTTACTTAAAACATACGAAATCGAAAACAAAAATCAGCTCTTACAGTCAGATCGTGACATCTGCAATTGTTGTCGCTGTTGAGATTAAGGTGATGTCTGATGGGTTAAGTAACATTATAGTTTGGTTTTGACGATGATAACCCGCTTTTTTAATCGCCAATTGACATCTTGTTATAGAGTTGGTACAGTCAAATGCCGTTATCCAATGAGTTTCACACATTGTTTCAACCTTCCATCCACATCCCGATTATTATCTCTTTCCTCCCTCAAATTTTCACCGGCAGCATGTGATTTAGTAAAAATTTAACAATTTTTCCAGATTCTTTAATTAGCTTGGTTAGAAGGTTAATATGATGTGCAATGCATCACATTGGAATTATTCTAATGTCTCCTTTCATTATGTCAACAACTTGTTGATGCCAAACTAAAAGAAAATGTATTTGGTCAATTTAAAATAATGAATAGGAGGACTGTTGCTAGTTTTTTCTTTTTTTACATTCATTTCAGAGAAATTAATTACTTTAGCCGCAGCAGTTATATTGATTTGTTGTACTAATTGATTATCCTCTTTTGACATAGTATATTGAGATCACTATTGATGACAGTGAGTGAGTAATATTGTTGGTTGTAATATCACTTGGCAGAGTAAATAATTATGACAATTACGAAATATCAATGTTATAAAACGAACAAATTAATAAACAAAAAAGTTTGTTAAAGACTCACTTACTGATCCTACAGAAATTTGACGATTTTCTGTAAAGCAATGATCATCACCATTCTATTCCTACTTGAGATAAAATTCTCGTCAGTTCATTTATGATATTGTCTCCTCCATCTAGTGCATATTTCGCTGACATTTGACATTACTTTTTTTTTTTAAATGGTCTGATTTTTGCAAGCTATCAATATTCTTTCCTGCTTGTCTTAATTTTCTACTTTTTTGTGCTCTTGTTGATAATATCTACAACAAAATTTTACTTGTTATGAAACTTTTCATGGTCTGGTATCACAACTACGCGTGTTGCGTAACACAATAAGCCAATTATCTTATTCGCTCGCTGATAATCTCATATTAAAACAGATAATATTAATATTTAACGTATTATATATTATACCAAAATAACATTTGTTAAAATGCACTTCGCAACACAAGTATACTGTGGCTATTGTTTGTGGATTTAAATTTGCACAAAGCTGATCAATAGTTAATCCTGCTGTACTAAATTCTCTCTCGCTTGATGCAATAGAAGATGGAATTGAAGGATTAATATTGCAAACTTTGGATATTAGAGTTGATGATCTTTCCACTATTGTAATATATCCAAATTCTTATCCTTTTGTATTTTCAAAATACCCAATTTCACTTTTATTTATTTTCATCACCATCACATCATTATTTACTGTATGATACAATTTTTTAAAACACAGTAAATGTTGGGTAGAAGTATCAACCCGGGGTCAAACCCGGACAAGTTAACAAAACAGATAATTACTATTTGAATATAAAGATATGACACGTTTATTATCATTAAATCAAGAAAATTTATTATTATTGCTTTTTTTGTAATTAGATTCCATATTCTATATGTTTAATATAAAAAAATCAGTTTTTAATATTTCTATTGTGTATCTATTAAGTCCCCAAAGAAGTTACCCGAGTAAAAATAGTCTTCTATATATATATATATATATATATTAAGTTTATTTCTATTGTATAAAATAAAATAAAAAATCATAATTAATGTAATGTTATAAATAAATTAATGAATTATTAATGCTTAAGCAAGGTATATTACATAAGTGAAATTAGCAAATTAAAAAATTAAATTAAAATATAAATGCTTATATTATTATTATAAAAATAATAAATAATGATGTTCATTCGATATGGGGATGTTGTTGCTGTTGCTGTTGTTCTATGGAGTTTTTATTATTAAAATATTTTAAAATAAAAAAACCATTCCAATATTCCTGTATATAATACCAAAAATTAAAAAATAATTTAAAAGACTTGGGTGATTGTGGCATTTTAGATTCTAAAATTTTAACCTATAAATTAAAGATGGGTTTATTAGAATGAATAAAAGAAGAGGAAAAAAAACAATGGATATGAATGGGATGTGGCAATTAAGTAACCTTTAAACAAAAATTATCTATGAATTCCTCCATTTCTTTTAATTTATCTTCTAATACACCTAATTCATAATTTAATTTTGCACTGTTTGTGTCAATCTGATTTACCCTATCTGCTATTAATTTTTGTTTAGACAATACTTCTAGACCTTTTTTCCCAGTGTCCTAAACAACAAAAAAATCAAAAAAATTTTCTCTCCAAAAAAGAAAAAAAAACACTAATGAAAAATCACTTACTTTATAATTATTAAATTTTTCTTCGTATGAATTTGACAGTTTTTCAATATGCTCTGAATACTCTTCTGAAACCATCTTTTTTATAGCAATTTAAATGATTTTGAGTAAGAAATATAATTTTTTCCCCTTCCATAAAATTAAAATTAAAAACGGAACATCAAATTTACCGTTAACTGTTCAATTAAATTTTTTAATGATGCCTCCTTTTGTTTTAGATCCACATACATTGTATAAGTTTGAATATCCATTATTATCCTACTATATTATTTTTTAAAAAAGGACGAAAAGCCGATAAGATAAATGAACAGTTCATAAATGTGATGCGGTTGAATAATAATGATAGTAAATAAGTAAGTACGTTGGCGCCATTTTTAAATCATGCTTTCGACTAACTTCCAAATCAGAAAATGAAACAGTTCTTCTAAGCTTATGAACATTATTATTGGATGAAGGAGATCTCAAATCTAAAATATCTTCATATGTGCTTGATGGATAAGGACTTCTTGGTAATTTTAAATCGCTACTATTACTACTATCGTATGTTTCGCCTTCAGACAGGTTTCCATCATCAATATCCTTGAATTTTTTTGCAGCTAATGAATTCATATGTAATTTATTTCAGTCATTATTAACAGCATTATAACTGAAATCAATAAATCAACAAATAAACTTTTTAAAGGTAATAATAACCTAACTCATTTAATGGTGGATTATTTCTCGATTTGAGATTTTCCAAATTTTTAACATCACTAATTTAATATTAATATTAATATACATTGAATAAAAAAAAATTATAATTCAATATTAAACAAATAACAATACTTTGATGAAGATGAAGATTGCAGTAATCTAGGTACAACATAACCGGGGGGTAATGCAAATGATTTATAAGAATCCTTAAAGTTTTTCTTTCCAAGTTTTTTTGTTTGTTCAATTGTGGCGGTTTTAACCTTGTTGAAAAGAGGTTTCATTTTTTTATGAAACCATTTATGTAGATCATTTAACTTTTTTAATTTGATCGATTTGTAGATTACAGGATTGGTATATATTAGTATTAGGGGTATAAGGATTGATTGGTATTATTAAGGAAGGATTGCAGTAGTGATAATAATAGTAATGGTAATACAAATTCTTATTTGAATATTCGTTTGTTATTATTATCATTCGTTCGTTATTCCCTAAATAATATATCAATATCAAATTAGCCAGCCAATCAAATACATGTTAATATAGCTATATGGGGCATACTGCAACAAAACCAGACAAAGTGAACATTGGTATTACCAAAGATTTCAGGGATCAAAATTTAGT